GGATACATATCGTATTTCCTACCCAACGTCATCTTTAGGAGCGTCAGGGCCGGGGGCCGTGTCGTCCGTGACTGGAGTGATGCCCTTTGCCCTTGCTAGACCTGGACCTGACTAGGACCCCATGTGCACAGTGCACTGCACTGTCACTGTGACCAAGCCGAGCGAGGCGCGGCGCGAGGGCCGGGCTCTGGGCGTTCTTGTGTTTGGCAGCAGCACGACTACCGCCGTCCCCCTCCCGAAACACACACACACACACTGGAAATAAACTTTGACGCCCCTAAATAACTCAGTAGATTCGGATTTACAGCGCTCTGTGGAGCTTCTCCTCGGTTGCTGGATAATGGAGAGAGGACCAAGTTAGCTATGTTTCTCACACTTGCAAAATCAACACGAAACTTCCCCCCCCCCCCCCCACACACACACACACGTCGCGTGATCTTACTAAAGCACTGAAAATCAACTTTGACGCCCCTAAATAACTCAGTAGATTCGGATTTACAACGCTCTGGTGGAGCTTCTCCTCGGTTGGTTGTAATGTAATGTTGAAGGACACAACGCTGAGCTGAGCGGGCGGCGGGTTATTGAAGCTTGAAGCCACTGTTGTGCAGGTGATGGTTGTTGGCGGCGGCGCGTCGGGACAGGGCACGAGTGAGTAGACATATCATCAGAACCAATGATTTATCATTTATTAATCGGTTCATAAACCATAAGCACAATGCAAAACTAATCATATTGCCCTATGGAACACGTCATACAAAGGAAAACTAAAAGTTTTAAGCATCCACAATCAAGCTCAAATAAATCACACGTGGATCCACGTACACGCGACGTTTTTACCGTCGTGGTAGGACCTGTCCAAGTTGGTGTAGGCAGTGTGGTACTCCGGAGACGGGCACTTGTTTGGGTCATGCGAGTAGAGGCCTATCATACACACCTCCAACCAGTTTACTTCCTGATGGCAGCCTGGCACGTAGCCCAGGGTACGGCACGTGTCGTCGGCACATTTGCACCAGACTTGCTTTTCGCAAAGCCAGAACTCGATATGAAGCGAGGGATTCTTCGCGATCAACGCCTTGGCCGTGTCCCCGTGTATCCAGGCGTGTGCACACCCACTCACCGCAATCTTCAGGAGCCTCAGTGCCGGGGCCGTGACGGGCGTGATGCCCTTGAGCAGCTCGTCGTCGGGATCCTGGGTCTGTAGGTCCAGCTCCAGGTGGCGCAGGGCGGGCAGCGAGGGCAGCACGCCGAGGAGCGGCCGCATGTTCTCGAACATCAGAAAGGCCAAACGCTCCACGCGGGACTGCCCAGACGAGACAAGACCGTCGAGCAACACCGAGCAGACCTCGGGGGTGTCGTCTCCGGTATTGTTATACAGGCTGACACGTCGCAGTTGGTGGGCTCGGCGGAAGAACTCCGCTGTCCTCTCGAGATGATTACGGTCGTAAATACCAATGTCAACGTCTCTAAGCGTATTGCACGCTGCCACGGCCTCTAACTCCATCATTGAGTCGCCGACGAACAGCGCGCGGAGTCTCGGCAAGGCTGCCAACAAGGTCGCCGTCGTTGTCTTGTTGGTGCCGGAGGTCAACCACCATAAGTCAACCACCTCCAGGGTAGCCGCGTGCCCGACCAGTATGGTGTGCACGAAGCTTACCGTGTTCTCATTGAGTGGACACCGGAACTTCTTGAGCGAGGGCATGGGTGGCCCGTACACAACGGGGTGGCTGATACTGGGTACCTCGACATCAAGCGACTCCAGGTGGGAACACGACGCAACCGTCCTCAACAGCTCGTCGGGAAGCGGATTTTTGCTATGCAGCTCAAGTCGCCTGAGGCGCCCGAAGGACTCCTGGTTGCGCACGGCCATGGCGTACTGTGGCGCGTGAGAGGCCAGCTTGTCCGAATGCAGTATCAAACCTACAACGGAGCACCGGGTCGTCGTCAGGGCCAGGGTCGGGACACGGACTCCGTATAACCAGGTCAGCGTGTTGAGGCACGGGGCCAGGTGCAGCACCGCGCCAGCGCAGGGCTCCTCGTCCTCGAGCGATCGGTGGCGCCAGACGTCCCGGTGCAGGGCCAGGCCGCAGAACCTCTTGCACACGAGGCGGCATTCGAGGACGTCCTTCATGGACACGTACTGCATCACCATCACGAGCACATCGTCCGGCAGCTGTTTCAGGGTCAGCGCGGACGTTTCCACTGGGTCCATGGTAGAGGGTAAAACTGTGGCCTAGAAACCTAACGTTAGTGCGAAATGGCAAAACAAACGATACACTGCGCCTGGGTGTGCACTGTCGACTGGCCTACCTCGGCGGTGGGATGATGAGCTGAAGCGTGCGTGGCCCGTGACCTGCAGCTGATGATGTGACTAGAACCAAAGGCACACTGCGACTGACGATGAACTCGCCCTGCGCACCGTGCCCCCCCC